AAGGCTGTTTTTGTGACCTATCATGTGGTCAGTGTTCTAAAAAGGTACCATGTGGGGCTAAGAAAAAAATGTATTTTGTGTTTTTTGAGTGGAAAGTTCTATAGATGCCTCTCAAGTCCATCTGATTTATGATATCATTTAGGTCCTGAATCTCTTCACTTATTTTTTGGCTTGTTGATCTGTCTAAAGAAGATAATGGGGTGTTGAGATCTCCAACACTTATAGTGTTACAGTTTATCTCTCCTTTTATATCTTTATATATTTGGGTGCTCCTGATTTGGGTGCATAGATGTTTATAAATGTTATATCTTCTTGACGAATTAGCCCTTTTACTACTATATAATGTCCTTCTTTGTCTCTTTTTACAGTTTTTGTCTTAGAGCCTATTTTGTCTGAAATCAGTAAAGCAACTCCTTCTCTTTTTTGGTTTCCATTTGCATGGAATACATTTTTCTAGCCCTTCACTTTTAGTCTATGTATGTCTTTATCCATGAGATGGAGTTCTTGTAGGCAGTAGATGAATCTTTAATCCATTCAGCCAGTCTATGTCTCTTGATTGGAGAATTTAATCCATTAACATTTAATGTTATTATCGATATTTCCAGACTTGTCCCTACCATTAAGTTGGCCATATTCTTGGTTGTTTTTTGTTCTCTTATTGCTGTCTGTCTGCCTTTAATTTTCTTGGTATAGTACTCCTTTCAGAATTTCTTGAAGAGCTAGCTGGTCTGGAGTTGGTAAACCCTTTAAAATTTTTTAAATTTGAGAATGTTTATATCTTTTTTTTCCTATATAAAGAATAATTTTTCCAGGTATAGTATTCTTGGTTGAAATTGTTTTTCTTTTAATATTTTGAATATATTTTTCCATTCTTTCCTTGCTTGCTTTGTATCTGATGAGAGGTCCAGTATTAGCTTGATGGGATAGCCCTTATAAGTGACCTGATGTATCTCTCTTCCTAATCTTTTTTCTGTGGTTTTGGCCAGTCTGGCTATGATGTGCCATAGAGAGAATCTTTTTGGATTGATTCTATTTGGGGATCTTTGTATTTTTTCAGTCTGAATGTTTGAGTGTTTCTCTAGTCTTGGAAAGTTTTCTTCCAGGATTTGTGGGATAGATTATCAATGCCTTTATTAGTTTCTTCATCTTCTGGGATACCAATTTCAGATGTATGGGCATTTCATGGTATCTAGTATGTCTCGTATATTATCCTCATTTTTCTTGGTTATTTTTTCAGTATTTTTCATAATTTTTTTTAGGTCAGAGAATTTGTCCTCTACTTCTGAGATTTGATCTTCAGCATGGTCTAATCTTTTAATGCTTTTGAGGGAGGTTTTGATTTCTTTTTTTTTTTTTTCAGCCAGTCAACTCCTATTGTTCTGTTTTACACTGGTTAAAAAAATAAATAAATGAATGGCGAAACAGATTGTTTTTTTTTCTTTTTTCCCTAACATTCATTCCCTGAGCATCATCACAGCGTACTAAATGTAATTTCCCATCTAGAATAAACTGCACAGTGACCCAATCAAGCATGTTATCATCAATAATATTCCACTTCTACTTTCTTGCTTATGCACATATATATGTTTTTTTTCCTCTTCCTCT